AAGGCTTTCTGTAATAGTAACACAAATAGCAACAAAAGTACTATCATTAGAAATGTTGCTTATTTTATTGTTTATGTTTATCGTACTATTTTCTTTAAGGATTTACATACATTTGTAACACAAGTCCTGAGTGTTAGTTTTTGGTATAATTACACAACAACTTGATGGATTTGCTAATTGTTTTATTTGCTTTTGAGACAAAAACTGTTTTAAACAATTGCTCAGCATGTGATGGTCTCGCGTCGCAGCTCTAATTGTACTGTCTTCCCAGGGCGGACACCACCACGGCCAGGAACTTCTGGAAAGCTGCCTGCACCTCACCAGTGAACTCATTACCCAGCCGAGCAGCAACCACGATGGTCAGGCAGTCGGCCAGGAGCTGCAACACAGCAAGCATCAGAACACATCAGCAGCAGGAAAGGTTGGTCATCTCTCAATATTATTTATTACATTAGTTGCACAACGGTACCTTGAAGTTGTCGGGGTCCACGTGCAGTTTCTCGGAGTGCAGCACGCTCAGTTCGGCGTAGGTGTTCGTGATGTCGTCCATGTTCTTCACAGCCCGGTCCAGACCGTTGAGGATGGTTGTTCCGTGTTTGGAAACCATGGGATTTCCCTTGATCGCAGCGGCGTTGTAGAGGTTTCCAAAGCCGCCAAAATACCTCTGAGTCCAGGGGTAGACGACCAGACACCTGAGGAAACACGTGAACACGTTAATATCAAACGGTTAAATTAGAAAAAATGTAGTTTAATCCAATGTGTCTGAAAGAAAACATGTCTCTGCTGCATTATTTTAAATGCAAAACTACAAAGACCCACCTGGCAAGAGCTGCAGGGCCCACCACATCATACTCAATCCTGGAGAAGATGTCCTGAATGGTGTTGCGCTCAAAGTCTGTCCATTCAACCATTTTGTCGCTTTCAGTTTGCAGGTCAGCAGATACTGAGTTCTCTGGCATCAGAGGCGACCTTTTAAAGCCCTCCTGCTCCCCTCCCACAACCAGCGAGTGGGTGGGTGGTGGGCCGGGCAGGATCTATCTCATGGATTTTCTACAGTGATAAGAGAATTCGGCGAATTTGCTCATCCTACATTATCTCTGAGACGAAGGAAATAGTTAAAGTAATAATTGTAATACAGCAACAGTAGATATCTTGAACGTATCAGTCACAGCATCAGCACCCTGGACAGAGATCTATAATTAATTATACAAAGACCAACTATACTGAGTAATGCTATAAATTATCATTTTAAATGATATTTTCAACACTTTTTTTAATTACTTTTAATTTCCCTTCACCAGAATAGGTACAGAGACATTATTCAGTTTAAGGTAACAGCCCTAGAAGTGGCTGGTTCCCTTTTTACATGTTGGTATAGAGCCTATGAATTCAGTGCCTTTCTCAATCTCAAATCAGAAGATGGATTTAAACCAGTCAGGTAGTATCTCCAGGCTATACACTAACACAAAGGCCGATGCTTTCAAAAAAATGTTTTTGTCACTTTGGGGTTTAGTGTTGACATCTTAAACATTTCCAAAGTCACCATGAGAAGAATCTTCTGGTTTATCTCATGGGGGCTGCAACCCAACACGCCTTGTGCAGCATATCTTGGAGGAAGATCTGGGTGTTTCTATGCTCTGTTTCGAGCATAAAAACCCCTCACTGCTTGCTGATCACGGCATTCAGCAACACACGTTCAACTGGCAAGATGACCACTCTCACTGCTAAGGACAAGCAAACAGTCAAGGCCTTCTGGGCTAAAGTGTCTGGAAAGTCCGAGGACATCGGTGCCGCTGCTGTAGCCAGGTAATGTCACCGAACTGACTGCTGCAACCTGCTCCAACATTTATAAATGAATTTATGTTGGCTCTCACTAACATTTGTTTTGGTTTGACCCAGGATGCTGGTGGTGTACCCACAGACCAAGACTTACTTCTCCCACTGGCAGGACCAGAGCCCCTACTCTCCTGCTGCCAGGAAGCACGGAATAACTGTGATGATGGGAGTTGGAGACGCTGTGACCAAAATCGATGACCTGAAAGAAGGTCTCAAGGAACTCAGTGAGCTGCATGCCTTCACTCTGCGTGTGGACCCTGGTAACTTCAAGGTGCAGAGCCAGAGTGATTCAAAGATAATACCTTGAAATGTACAGGAAGTGTTCCTCAAACTTGGGCCGTTGAGAGGTTTCCAGACAGACAACAGATCCATCTGGCACATCCATGCACAAAATGCCCTTATGTTTGATGGGTGCGTATATGTAACATCTGTGTCATTTTCTTCTTTTCACAGATTCTCTCCCACAACATCCTTGTGGTCATGGCCGTCATGTTCCCCACCGACTTCACCCCTGATGTTCATGTGTCTCTGGACAAGTTCCTGGCTGCTGTGTCTCTGGCCCTGGCTGAGAAGTACCGATAAGCAGCAGGAGAAGAAGAAGGAGACTGCAGCATGAGATTACATTGCGTTGCATCGTGATTAATAAATGCATTCATGCTAAAAGAAAAGCAACTGTTGTATTCTGGTTTGTTTGCTATGATCATGTCAAATGTCAGAGTTAATCACAACTACAGCACAAAGCAGACGTTATAGTCAATCAGAAGAAACTCAACAGGAAACCACTTTGACCTTATTGTTATTTATTAGGCAGAAAGTCCAAACGTCCTCTTTTGTATGCATTGTGAAATGTCTTTTGGTTTGGACAAAGCAAGGCATTTTAAGACGTCACCCTTTTAGGTGAGATTATATTTAACAATTAATGGGTTGATTTGCAAAACAATGTGCAGGATCGTCAATGATGAAATCAATTGTAAAAAAACTAATAGGGTCACTGGGATCAGTTCAAACATTTTCATAATGATTTTAAGAAAACAAAAGTAGAAGACCCATAAAACAGGTACGTATGTTGTATCAATTTGGCAACATCAATGTTTCTTCAAAACATTGGTTTCAATTTGATATTTGGTCAACAAAGGATTTCGTGGTGGTTGTAATGATTATTTTTATTTTAGTATTAACACCTTTTCTTACTACTATTATAATTATTCTTATAATTATAATAATACTTTTAATTTATTAATCATTTGTATTGATATTATTCTTATTCTTATTATTGTTGTTATTGTTATTATTACTAATATAATGATGACGATAAGTAGTATTAGTAGTATTATTTATACAACTATTATAAAAAAACATCACAAAAAGTGAGCTACCTGAAAGAAAGAAAAAATATGTAAAGCAACTTTATAGCTCTTCAAGTGACGAACCAGAAACCTCATGAAGAGCATTTAATGACAATAATGGCTATATTTGGTGGAGCTATAATGTAAAGGCTTTCTGTAATAGTAACACAAATAGCAACAAAAGTACTATCATTAGAAATGTTGCTTATTTTATTGTTTATGTTTATCGTACTATTTTCTTTAAGGATTTACATACATTTGTAACACAAGTCCTGAGTGTTAGTTTTTGGTATAATTACACAACAACTTGATGGATTTGCTAATTGTTTTATTTGCTTTTGAGACAAAAACTGTTTTAAACAATTGCTCAGCATGTGATGGTCTCGCGTCGCAGCTCTAATTGTACTGTCTTCCCAGGGCGGACACCACCACGGCCAGGAACTTCTGGAAAGCTGCCTGCACCTCACCAGTGAACTCATTACCCAGCCGAGCAGCAACCACGATGGTCAGGCAGTCGGCCAGGAGCTGCAACACAGCAAGCATCAGAACACATCAGCAGCAGGAAAGGTTGGTCATCTCTCAATATTATTTATTACATTAGTTGCACAACGGTACCTTGAAGTTGTCGGGGTCCACGTGCAGTTTCTCGGAGTGCAGCACGCTCAGTTCGGCGTAGGTGTTCGTGATGTCGTCCATGTTCTTCACAGCCCGGTCCAGACCGTTGAGGATGGTTGTTCCGTGTTTGGAAACCATGGGATTTCCCTTGATCGCAGCGGCGTTGTAGAGGTTTCCAAAGCCGCCAAAATACCTCTGAGTCCAGGGGTAGACGACCAGACACCTGAGGAAACACGTGAACACGTTAATATCAAACGGTTAAATTAGAAAAAATGTAGTTTAATCCAATGTGTCTGAAAGAAAACATGTCTCTGCTGCATTATTTTAAATGCAAAACTACAAAGACCCACCTGGCAAGAGCTGCAGGGCCCACCACATCATACTCAATCCTGGAGAAGATGTCCTGAATGGTGTTGCGCTCAAAGTCTGTCCATTCAACCATTTTGTCGCTTTCAGTTTGCAGGTCAGCAGATACTGAGTTCTCTGGCATCAGAGGCGACCTTTTAAAGCCCTCCTGCTCCCCTCCCACAACCAGCGAGTGGGTGGGTGGTGGGCCGGGCAGGATCTATCTCATGGATTTTCTACAGTGATAAGAGAATTCGGCGAATTTGCTCATCCTACATTATCTCTGAGACGAAGGAAATAGTTAAAGTAATAATTGTAATACAGCAACAGTAGATATCTTGAACGTATCAGTCACAGCATCAGCACCCTGGACAGAGATCTATAATTAATTATACAAAGACCAACTATACTGAGTAATGCTATAAATTATCATTTTAAATGATATTTTCAACACTTTTTTTAATTACTTTTAATTTCCCTTCACCAGAATAGGTACAGAGACATTATTCAGTTTAAGGTAACAGCCCTAGAAGTGGCTGGTTCCCTTTTTACATGTTGGTATAGAGCCTATGAATTCAGTGCCTTTCTCAATCTCAAATCAGAAGATGGATTTAAACCAGTCAGGTAGTATCTCCAGGCTATACACTAACACAAAGGCCGATGCTTTCAAAAAAATGTTTTTGTCACTTTGGGGTTTAGTGTTGACATCTTAAACATTTCCAAAGTCACCATGAGAAGAATCTTCTGGTTTATCTCATGGGGGCTGCAACCCAACACGCCTTGTGCAGCATATCTTGGAGGAAGATCTGGGTGTTTCTATGCTCTGTTTCGAGCATAAAAACCCCTCACTGCTTGGGCTGATCACGGCATTCAGCAACACACGTTCAACTGGCAAGATGACCACTCTCACTGCTAAGGACAAGCAAACAGTCAAGGCCTTCTGGGCTAAAGTGTCTGGAAAGTCCGAGGACATCGGTGCCGCTGCTGTAGCCAGGTAATGTCACCGAACTGACTGCTGCAACCTGCTCCAACATTTATAAATGAATTTATGTTGGCTCTCACTAACATTTGTTTTGGTTTGACCCAGGATGCTGGTGGTGTACCCACAGACCAAGACTTACTTCTCCCACTGGCAGGACCAGAGCCCCTACTCTCCTGCTGCCAGGAAGCACGGAATAACTGTGATGATGGGAGTTGGAGACGCTGTGACCAAAATCGATGACCTGAAAGAAGGTCTCAAGGAACTCAGTGAGCTGCATGCCTTCACTCTGCGTGTGGACCCTGGTAACTTCAAGGTGCAGAGCCAGAGTGATTCAAAGATAATACCTTGAAATGTACAGGAAGTGTTTCTCAAACTTGGGCCGTTGAGAGGTTTCCAGACAGACAACAGATCCATCTGTTACATCCATGCACAAAATGCCCTTATGTTTGATGGGTGCGTATATGTAACATCTGTGTCATTGTCTTCTTTCACAGATTCTCTCCCACAACATCCTTGTGGTCATGGCCGTCATGTTCCCCACCGACTTCACCCCTGATGTTCATGTGTCTCTGGACAAGTTCCTGGCTGCTGTGTCTCTGGCCCTGGCTGAGAAGTACCGATAAGCAGCAGGAGAAGAAGAAGGAGACTGCAGCATGAGATTACATTGCGTTGCAACGTGATTAATAAATGCATTCATGCTAAAAGAAAAGCAACTGTTGTATTCTGGTTTGTTTGCTATGATCATGTCAAATGTCAGAGTTAATCACAACTACAGCACAAAGCAGACGTTATAGTCAATCAGAAGAAACTCAACAGGAAACCACTTTGACCTTATTGTTATTTATTAGGCAGAAAGTCCAAACGTCCTCTTTTGTATGCATTGTGAAATGTCTTTTGGTTTGGACAAAGCAAGGCATTTTAAGACGTCACCCTTTTAGGTGAGATTACATTTAACAATTAATGGGTTGATTTGCAAAACAATGTGCAGGATCGTCAATGATGAAATCAATTGTAAAAAAACTAATAGGGTCACTGGGATCAGTTCAAACATTTTCATAATGATTTTAAGAAAACAAAAGTAGAAGACCCATAAAACAGGTACGTATGTTGTATCAATTTGGCAACATCAATGTTTCTTCAAAACATTGGTTTCAATTTGATATTTGGTCAACAAAGGATTTCGTGGTGGTTGTAATGATTATTTTATTTTAGTATTAACACCTTTTCTTACTACTATTATAATTATTCTTATAATTATAATAATACTTTTAATTTAGTAATCATTTGTATTAATATTGTTCTTGTTCTTATTCTTATTCTTATTATTGTTGTTATTGTTATTATTACTAATATAATGATGACGATAAGTAGTATTAGTAGTATTATTTATACAACTATTATAAAAAACATCACAAAAAGTGAGCTACCTGAAAGAAAGAAAAAATATGTAAAGCAACTTTATAGCTCTTCAAGTGACGAACCAGAGACCTCATGAAGAGCATTTAATGACAATAATGGCTATATTTGGTGGAGCTATAATGTGAAGGCTTTCTGTAATAGTAACACAAATAGCAACAAAAGTACTATCATTAGAAATGTTGCTTATTTTATTGTTTATGTTTATCGTACTATTTTCTTTAAGGATTTACATACATTTGAAACACAAGTCCTGAGTGTTAGTTTTTGGTATAATTACACAACAACTTGATGGATTTGCTAATTGTTTTATTTGCTTTTGAGACAAAAACTGTTTTAAACAATTGCTCAGCATGTGATGGTCTCGCGTCGCAGCTCTAATTGTAATGTCTTCCCAGGGCGGACACCACCACGGCAAGGAACTTCTGGAAAGCTGCCTGCACCTCACCAGTGAACTCATTACCCAGCCGAGCAGCAACCACGATGGTCAGGCAGTCGGCCAGGAGCTGCAACACAGCAAGCATCAGAACACATCAGCAGCAGGAAAGGTTGGTCATCTCTCAATATTATTTATTACATTAGTTGCACAACGGTACCTTGAAGTTGTCGGGGTCCACGTGCAGTTTCTCGGAGTGCAGCACGCTCAGTTCGGCGTAGGTGTTCGTGATGTCGTCCATGTTCTTCACAGCCCGGTCCAGACCGTTGAGGATGGTTGTTCCGTGTTTGGAAACCATGGGATTTCCCTTGATCGCAGCGGCGTTGTAGAGGTTTCCAAAGCCGCCAAAATACCTCTGAGTCCAGGGGTAGACGACCAGACACCTGAGGAAACACGTGAACACGTTAATATCAAACGGTTAAATTAGAAAAAATGTAGTATAATCCAATGTGTCTGAAAGAAAACATGTCTCTGCTGCATTATTTTAAATGCAAAACTACAAAGACCCACCTGGCAAGAGCTGCAGGGCCCACCACATCATACTCAATCCTGGAGAAGATGTCCTGAATGGTGTTGCGCTCAAAGTCTGTCCATTCAACCATTTTGTCGCTTTCAGTTTGCAGGTCAGCAGATACTGAGTTCTCTGGCATCAGAGGCGACCTTTTAAAGCCCTCCTGCTCCCCTCCCACAACCAGCGAGTGGGTGGGTGGTGGGCCGGGCAAGATCTATCTCATGGATTTTCTACAGTGATAAGAGAATTCGGCGAATTTGCTCATCCTACATTATCTCTGAGACGAAGGAAATAGTTAAAGTAATAATTGTAATACAGCAACAGTAGATATCTTGAACGTATCAGTCACAGCATCAGCACCCTGGACACAGATATATAATTAATTATACAAAGACCAACTATACTGAGTAATGCTATAAATTATCATTTTAAATGATATTTTCAACACTTTTTTTAATTACTTTTAATTTCCCTTCACCAGAATAGGTACAGAGACATTATTCAGTTTAAGGTAACAGCCCTAGAAGTGGCTGGTTCCCTTTTTACATGTTGGTATAGCCTATGAATTCAGTGCCTTTCTCAATCTCAAATCAGAAGATGGATTTAAACCAGTCAGGTAGTATCTCCAGGCTATACACTAACACAAAGGCCGATGCTTTCAAAAAAATGTTTTTGTCACTTTGGGGTTTAGTGTTGACATCTTAAACATTTCCAAAGTCACCATGAGAAGAATCTTCTGGTTTATCTCATGGGGGCTGCAACCCAACACGCCTTGTGCAGCATATCTTGGAGGAAGATCTGGGTGTTTCTATGCTCTGTTTCGAGCATAAAAACCCCTCACTGCTTGGGCTGATCACAGGCATTCAGCAACACACGTTCAACTGGCAAGATGACCACTCTCACTGCTAAGGACAAGCAAACAGTCAAGGCCTTCTGGGCTAAAGTGTCTGGAAAGTCCGAGGACATCGGTGCCGCTGCTGTAGCCAGGTAATGTCACCGAACTGACTGCTGCAACCTGCTCCAACATTTATAAATGAATTTATGTTGGCTCTCACTAACATTTGTTTTGGTTTGACCCAGGATGCTGGTGGTGTACCCACAGACCAAGACTTACTTCTCCCACTGGCAGGACCAGAGCCCCTACTCTCCTGCTGCCAGGAAGCACGGAATAACTGTGATGATGGGAGTTGGAGACGCTGTGACCAAAATCGATGACCTGAAAGAAGGTCTCAAGGAACTCAGTGAGCTGCATGCCTTCACTCTGCGTGTGGACCCTGGTAACTTCAAGGTGCAGAGCCAGAGTGATTCAAAGATAATACCTTGAAATGTACAGGAAGTGTTTCTCAAACTTGGGCCGTTGAGAGGTTTCCAGACAGACAACAGATCCATCTGTTACATCCATGCACAAAATGCCCTTATGTTTGATGGGTGCGTATATGTAACATCTGTGTCATTGTCTTCTTTCACAGATTCTCTCCCACAACATCCTTGTGGTCATGGCCGTCATGTTCCCCACCGACTTCACCCCTGATGTTCATGTGTCTCTGGACAAGTTCCTGGCTGCTGTGTCTCTGGCCCTGGCTGAGAAGTACCGATAAGCAGCAGGAGAAGAAGAAGGAGACTGCAGCATGAGATTACATTGCGTTGCAACGTGATTAATAAATGCATTCATGCTAAAAGAAAAGCAACTGTTGTATTCTGGTTTGTTTGCTATGATCATGTCAAATGTCAGAGTTAATCGACAACTACAGCACAAAGCAGACGTTATAGTCAATCAGAAGAAACTCAACAGGAAACCACTTTGACCTTATTGTTATTTATTAGGCAGAAAGTCCAAACGTCCTCTTTTGTATGCATTGTGAAATGTCTTTTGGTTTGGACAAAGCAAGGCATTTTAAGACATCACCCTTTTAGGTGAGATTATATTTAACAATTAATGGGTTGATTTGCAAAACAATGTGCAGGATCGTCAATGATGAAATCATTTGTAAAAAAACGAATAGGGTCACTGGGATCAGTTCAAACATTTTCATAATGATTTTAAGAAAACAAAAGTAGAAGACCCATAAAACAGGTAAGTATGTTGTATCAATTTGGCAACATCAATGTTTCTTCAAAACATTGGTTTCAATTTGATATTTGGTCAACAAAGGATTTCGTGGTGGTTGTAATGATTATTTTAATTTTAGTATTAACACCTTTTCTTACTACTATTATAATTATTCTTATAATTATAATAATACTTTTAATTTATTAATCATTTGTATTAATATTGTTCTTGTTCTTATTCTTATTCTTATTATTGTTGTTATTGTTATTATTACTAATATAATGATGACGATAAGTAGTATTAGTAGTATTATTTATACAACTATTATAAAAAACATCACAAAAAGTGAGCTACCTGAAAGAAAGAAAAAATATGTAAAGCAACTTTATAGCTCTTCAAGTGACGAACCAGAGACCTCATGAAGAGCATTTAATGACAATAATGGCTATATTTGGTGGAGCTATAATGTAAAGGCTTTCTGTAATAGTAACACAAATAGCAACAAAAGTACTATCATTAGAAATGTTGCTTATTTTATTGTTTATGTTTATCGTACTATTTTCTTTAAGGATTTACATACATTTGAAACACAAGTCCTGAGTGTTAGTTTTTGGTATAATTACACAACAACTTGATGGATTTGCTAATTGTTTTATTTGCTTTTGAGACAAAAACTGTTTTAAACAATTGCTCAGCATGTGATGGTCTCGCGTCGCAGCTCTAATTGTACTGTCTTCCCAGGGCGGACACCACCACGGCCAGGAACTTCTGGAAAGCTGCCTGCACCTCACCAGTGAACTCATTACCCAGCCGAGCAGCAACCACGATGGTCAGGCAGTCGGCCAGGAGCTGCAACACAGCAAGCATCAGAACACATCAGCAGCAGGAAAGGTTGGTCATCTCTCAATATTATTTATTACATTAGTTGCACAACGGTACCTTGAAGTTGTCGGGGTCCACGTGCAGTTTCTCGGAGTGCAGCACGCTCAGTTCGGCGTAGGTGTTCGTGATGTCGTCCATGTTCTTCACAGCCCGGTCCAGACCGTTGAGGATGGTTGTTCCGTGTTTGGAAACCATGGGATTTCCCTTGATCGCAGCGGCGTTGTAGAGGTTTCCAAAGCCGCCAAAATACCTCTGAGTCCAGGGGTAGACGACCAGACACCTGAGGAAACACGTGAACACGTTAATATCAAACTGTTAAATTAGAAGAAATGTAGTTTAATCCAATGTGTCTGAAAGAAAACTTGTCTCTGCTGCATTATTTTAAATGCAAAACTACAAAGACCCACCTGACAAGAGCTGCAGGGCCCACCACATCATACTCAATCCTGGAGAAGATGTCCTGAATGGTGTTGCGCTCAAAGTCTGTCCATTCAACCATTTTGTCGCTTTCAGTTTGCAGGTCAGCAGATACTGAGTTCTCTGGCATCAGAGGCGACCTTTTAAAGCCCTCCTGCTCCCCTCCCACAACCAGCGAGTGGGTGGGTGGTGGGCCGGGCAAGATCTATCTCATGGATTTTCTACAGTGATAAGAGAATTCGGCGAATTTGCTCATCCTACATTATCTCTGAGACGAAGGAAATAGTTAAAGTAATAATTGTAATACAGCAACAGTAGATATCTTGAACGTATCAGTCACAGCATCAGCACCCTGGACAGAGATCTATAATTAATTATACAAAGACCAACTATACTGAGTAATGCTATAAATTATCATTTTAAATGATATTTTCAACACTTTTTTTAATTACTTTTAATTTCCCTTCACCAGAATAGGTACAGAGACATTATTCAGTTTAAGGTAACAGCCCTAGAAGTGGCTGGTTCCCTTTTTACATGTTGGTATAGCCTATGAATTCAGTGCCTTTCTCAATCTCAAATCAGAAGATGGATTTAAACCAGTCAGGTAGTATCTCCAGGCTATACACTAACACAAAGGCCGATGCTTTCAAAAAAATGTTTTTGTCACTTTGGGGTTTAGTGTTGACATCTTAAACATTTCCAAAGTCACCATGAGAAGAATCTTCTGGTTTATCTCATGGGGGCTGCAACCCAACACGCCTTGTGCAGCATATCTTGGAGGAAGATCTGGGTGTTTCTATGCTCTGTTTCGAGCATAAAAACCCCTCACTGCTTGGGCTGATCACAGCATTCAGCAACACACGTTCAACTGGCAAGATGACCACTCTCACTGCTAAGGACAAGCAAACAGTCAAGGCCTTCTGGGCTAAAGTGTCTGGAAAGTCCGAGGACATCGGTGCCGCTGCTGTAGCCAGGTAATGTCACCGAACTGACTGCTGCAACCTGCTCCAACATTTATAAATGAATTTATGTTGGCTCTCACTAACATTTGTTTTGGTTTGACCCAGGATGCTGGTGGTGTACCCACAGACCAAGACTTACTTCTCCCACTGGCAGGACCAGAGCCCCTACTCTCCTGCTGCCAGGAAGCACGGAATAACTGTGATGATGGGAGTTGGAGACGCTGTGACCAAAATCGATGACCTGAAAGAAGGTCTCAAGGAACTCAGTGAGCTGCATGCCTTCACTCTGCGTGTGGACCCTGGTAACTTCAAGGTGCAGAGCCAGAGTGATTCAAAGATAATACCTTGAAATGTACAGGAAGTGTTTCTCAAACTTGGGCCGTTGAGAGGTTTCCAGACAGACAACAGATCCATCTGTTACATCCATGCACAAAATGCCCTTATGTTTGATGGGTGCGTATATGTAACATCTGTGTCATTTTCTTCTTTTCACAGATTCTCTCCCACAACATCCTTGTGGTCATGGCCGTCATGTTCCCCACCGACTTCACCCCTGATGTTCATGTGTCTCTGGACAAGTTTCTGGCTGCTGTGTCTCTGGCCCTGGCTGAGAAGTACCGATAAGCAGCAGGAGAAGAAGAAGGAGACTGCAGCATGAGATTACATTGCGTTGCAACGTGATTAATAAATGCATTCATGCTAAAAGAAAAGCAACTGTTGTATTCTGGTTTGTTTGCTATGATCATGTCAAATGTCAGAGTTAATCACAACTACAGCACAAAGCAGACGTTATAGTCAATCAGAAGAAACTCAACAGGAAACCACTTTGACCTTATTGTTATTTATTAGGCAGAAAGTCCAAACGTCCTCTTTTGTATGCATTGTGAAATGTCTTTTGGTTTGGACAAAGCAAGGCATTTTAAGACGTCACCCTTTTAGGTGAGATTACATTTAACAATTAATGGGTTGATTTGCAAAACAATGTGCAGGATCGTCAATGATGAAATCAATTGTAAAAAAACTAATAGGGTCACTGGGATCAGTTCAAACATTTTCATAATGATTTTAAGAAAACAAAAGTAGAAGACCCATAAAACAGGTAAGTATGTTGTATCAATTTGGCAACATCAATGTTTCTTCAAAACATTGGTTTCAATTTGATATTTGGTCAACAAAGGATTTCGTGGTGGTTGTAATGATTATTTTTATTTTAGTATTAACACCTTTTCTTACTACTATTATAATTATTCTTATAATTATAATAATACTTTTAATTTAGTAATCATTTGTATTAATATTATTCTTGTCCTTATTCTTATTCTTATTATTGTTGTTATTGTTATTATTACTAATATAATGATGACGATAAGTAGTATTAGTAGTATTATTTATACAACTATTATAAAAAACATCACAAAAAGTGAGCTACCTGAAAGAAAGAAAAAATATGTAAAGCAACTTTATAGCTCTTCAAGTGACGAACCAGAGACCTCATGAAGAGCATTTAATGACAATAATGGCTATATTTGGTGGAGCTATAATGTAAAGGCTTTCTGTAATAGTAACACAAATAGCAACAAAAGTACTATCATTAGAAATGTTGCTTATTTTATTGTTTATGTTTATACATTATTATATACATTTGTAACACAAGTCCTGAGTGTTATTTGTTGGTATAATTACGAAGTCTGTCCATTCAACCATTTTGTGACTCTAAGTTTGCAGGTCAGCAAATGCTGAGTTCTCTGGCATCAGATGCAACTTTTAAAGCCCTTCTGATCCCCTCCCACAACAAGCGAGTGGATGGCTGGTGGGCTGCACGTCATAGATTTCCAACAATGATAAGGGAAGATGCAACGCCTAGAATGATCTCTGATATCTTTTGCAGGAAGAGGCTTGATTTAATCATACTTTGAAAGTCTGCTAGACCAGGGGCAACAGCGGTAATTAAAGTTTAAAAGTCTCAAAAATGCTACAACTACTGTCACAAACTGGATGAATGTGAAGTATTTTGTTAAAGGAGGATGAAAGCGTAAACAAGGAGCACTATTGGAGTGACTTTGATGGTTATTGGACTCAGGATTAATTCATTTGGATTCCCGCTGTATCGCCACATGTTGAAAAGTGCTATATAAATAAAATTGTCTTGCCTTGCCTTGCCTTGCTGTATGAAGAAATTAAAGGACGGCGCAAGTGGAAACAATTCACAAAGGGATTAAACTGTTTAAAACACATGCTTAAAGTAAGCCGGATTTTGCCGATGTGTTTATGTGGATACAAAAGTCGTAAATAATCTACAAAATGGAGGAGACCTATCTGATCGGAGCAACTGTGACAAATAATCTGAAACCGGCATGGACAATGACTATGTTTTAAAAATGTGCTTATCCAGAAGAGCCTGGTTTGGACACTTTACGGGCAGAAGAAACATTTCTATTAAAGAAAGAATTATACATTTCTGTCTTTTTATGCCTATAATAGCTACTAACTTGAATTTTTATTTTATTAATTAATCAATTATTTTTTATGTTATTGTAATGTAGAGACAAGGCTTTTAGTGACAATCATGTATTGCGTTACAATTATATGTAAAAAAAGTAAAAAAAAAAGAAAAAAGTCTAAATGTGATATTTGGCCTCAAATCATCTGAGGCCTGGCGCCCCCCCTGCGATCTTTGACGCCCCCCCAAGGGGGGCGCGCCCCCCAGGTTGGGAACCACTGTGCTAGACTATACCAATACAGGTTTTATATCACGTGTTTAAAGAAGAAGACTGTCTGAAGACTTTTCTTTTTGCCGCTGCTTTTAATTTAACTATTCATATCTTAAACTGCACTGTAACTTTTATTCATGTATTTTTTCTTTTAATGTTTATTTTATTATCTTTGCTTTTTAATCACGGTTTTTAAATGCCATTTTCTTAATGTCTTTCATTTTTGTAAAGCACTTTGAATTGCCTTGTGTTGAAAGGTGCTATATATAGGCGTGTGGCGCAGTGGGTTGTGCGTTGGTGTTTGGATCAGGGGGTCCAAACACAGGTTCAAACCCCGCTTCAGTCAGCATGTCGTTGTGTCCCTGCAAGACACTTCACCCCAAATTGCTCCTGTGGGGATTGTCCACAGTATTGAGTATGTAAGTCGTTTTGGATAAAAGCGTCTAACAAGCAACATGTAATAATATAAATAAACTTGCCTTGCCTTAAATTCAGAACATCGTTTTATAATGAATTCCCTTTTTAAATGCCAGGTTGTCTTCTTTGCATCATTTAATTCATAGAAATCCTTCGTTTTGTTTTTTTCTGTTGCGGTGTGTTCCAGTGCGACTTTTTGGCCCGCAGGAGACGTGAGGCGACACAACAGTCGGGTCCGTCGGGACGTGTTCTTTGGTGTCAGTTTGGTGTGTCCTGACCTTTAAATAACACAGAGGTGGACGTAATTTCAGCACCAAGCGCAGTCCATAGCGTCGACCATGTTATTAACACGTTTGAGTTGATTTGGGATTTTAATTGTTTAAAGGTCCCATGTCATGGTCATTTCTACTGATCATAATTCCATTGTTGAGGTGTACTAAAATAGATTTATATTGTGAAATTTTCCAAACTCACATCGGTTTCTCATACAGCATCTCTGTATAGTATACGTGTGTATTCTCTCTCTGTCCTAAACGGCTTGTTGGAGCTCCTGCCCCCCCTACCTATTTTTTAAATTTTTTATTTAACCTTTATTTAAGCAGATAAAAGCATTGAGATAAAATCTCATTTTCAATGCTGACCTGGCCAAGAAGGCAGCAACGTTGCACATAACACATAACACAAACATATAAAATACAGAGAACATAACTAAGAAAACAAAAGACGAAAAAGCAGTCACTACATTGTGCACATTAGGACAGTAGGAAGTATAGTAGAGATAGTAGAAAGGTACACTACTTATTACTGCAAGAGCAGCTGGTGGTGAGGACTTCAGACAACTTCAATTTAAAACATGCTATTGAGACAAGTGCCGTCAGTTTGAGGCGTGATTGAAGGTCATTCCAAGACCAAGGACCATAATAAAAAAGACTCCTTTTTCCAGCCTCAGTCTGCACAGCAGGTACCTGGAACCGTATCCAGGCACTGGA